ACTTTGTTACCTTGAGATGCCTAGATGGACCGCTCTGTGGTGTTCCCAATTGTCAGCAAAAAGGAGGGAAAGTTGGAATACTAACCTTTATTGTTCTTTGGGCGAATCCTCTCATGCGCGATCGCTTTTCGTTAGTGTTTTGCAACGAATGTTATATCGTCAATAATTAGCAAGAAGGAGGGGATAACCATCAACCACACTTAGATTAAAGTTAATTAAGTATATATAATATTTTACAGTGAGATTAGGTAATTCGCGTATGTGATATTCAAATCGCTCGATAAAACTGGGTCGCTCTTGGTATTCGAGCCATCTTACCAAACACTAATTCGTATGGTACTAATACGTAAACTTCGTACCTTCATGTACGCTCGTGTTATACGAAAACGTTGCCAACTTCAGATATTCATCCCATTCATTGTTTCGATCTACATACTGTTTAAGTAATTTCAAAGTACATGGTGGCTTTTCTCGATCGAGTTTGATTGGAGGTGATATGCGATAGTCTTAAATTGTGTTATCCGAAATTTGCGTGCTATTGCGCGCATGAGGGCGCTTATAAAATTTGATTCCTGATCTGTGAGAATGGCCTTAGGTATACCATAAATAAAATTACTCATAAATGTGTTAGCCATATCGATGGCCGTGGTTTTAATGGTATAACAAGGAAATATTTAGTTAACAAGTCTTGTATTGTTATTATGTATGCGTTTCAGGTAACGGGCCCATGATATCCATAGAAATTTTTTCGAATGCTGTGCTCGGATTGTCCGTTAGGACCATCGGCTGATGAATTTTTATGCGTACGAGTTTTTTCAATTGACAGTTTCTACACAGTTTTGTATATAACACTGAATATCGGCTTTCATATTTGGCCAATAATATCGTTGCTTGACACGCAAATATGTCTTTGTAATACTTTGTATCCGCCCGCTGTAGAGTTATGATATTCGCTAAGGATTCGCGGACGATCCCCGATCGGAGACATCGATTTGGTTGGTGCAAATTGAGATTTTTACATTATGATCATGAAATGTTCGTGCAGTGAGCCCGCGTGCAATACGATATCGTCCAAATATAAATAGTTCTTCTTTGCAGACCGGACAGAATTTGATCTATGAGATGACGTTGGAATGTCACAAGGGCGTTCTTCAGACCGAATGGCATTCGATTAAACTGATAGTGCCCGTGAGGAGTTGAGAACCCTGTTTTCTGCGTGTCCTGCTTATGATGGAAACCTGATGCGAAGTCAAATATGCTAAAATATTTTGCACTACCCAGCTGATCAAGGATTTTGGTGATGTTGGGTAGTGGGTACGCGTCGCCGATCTTTTCTTTGCGCTTAATGCATGGCAATCATCATCTACCAGCGTTTATTACCCAGTGAGTCGGATTTTTTGAGGACTATCCAGAGGGAGGAGTTGTAGGGGGAATTGGAAGGAGAGATGCCATGGTCTAGAAAACTTTTATTTGTTTATTTATTTCCTCTTTATGGATTGGAAGATGCCGGTATTATTTAGTATGGATAGGATGGTTATCAGTGGTGTTTATTTTACGCTAAATGGCATTCGTATAGTCCAATATGATCGGATAGATAGAAAAGATCGTTGTTTTATTTATTTAATTCCTTTATGCGCCGTTTCCTCACTAATTAATTGGTCAAGTGAAAGGAGAGATTTTATTTCTTCTGCACATTTGACCCTACGGACGGTTTTCGTTGTGACTGAAGCAACTTGAAATACGTCATTTCTTGCGCTGTTCAGTTCTTTGTGCCCTAAAACCGAAATACGTTCTTCGAATAGCAACACATTACTCGATCGGCTGTCAGAGACAATTTCGACTTCTTTGAGATGATTTACAATTAACATTTACAATCTTATAATAATTTTTTGAACTATTTTAATGCATTTACTATCATTTTTTCGCATCGTATGAACATAGTACAAAATTGAAGATCGACTCTGTATTTTGAAATGAGGTGGAAATTACAAAAGTGAGCAAATTTACTGTTGACTAATGAAATTATCAGTATTCTAGTAAATTCGTTTTTGTAATTTTCATCTCATTTCAAAATATAAAGTCGTTCTCCTGGCGTGATGGAAAAGTGCGGAAAAAAGCACACTGAAATCGCACGTAATGCATCATTGTTTTTTTGATCTTAGTATTTATGTTTATGCACTCAGATTTTGTCATTTTGCTTCATTCGTCTCATTCTCTACATTACGTAATTCCATATCGCAATTTCATATCAATTAGCATTCAATTATTTGGTAATTATGCAGAAAACGGCCGATCTCACCGATTTTAATGAAATTAGGTTCATTCGCGGCAAAATGAGATGCGGACCAATAAATACATTAGGAGCTGTAAGCTTATTGGCTACCGCATCACATTTTGCCGCGTGGCAAGTTTCCGTGTTCAGTGTGCAAAAGCCATGAATAGTTGTTTCTATGGTCTTCCCACCGAGGATTTAATCCAGATCAGAATATAAAAACCAACCAACTACAATTGAACATTTCCTTCGACGTGACAGGGGAATACTGTAAAGCTGCGTTCGGAAATATCTCGTTTGGTGTATTTCGGTGATTTCAGTGGAGAAATAGTGGGGGTATCATGTGCCTTTGAGTGGTGAGTATCTCGAACAGCTTCTGTGGCGTGTATGTCATCTCAATTCCATCTCACTGCTCACGTTTAACTAGAGCACTAGAAATGTAGGTATTCGCGTCCATCATTTTTATTCCTTTTCCCACTCCTTCCTCTATTCCCATTTCATCACTGAGCTGTGGCGGGTTATGATCAGTACAGATTATGATTTGCTGCTTGAAATTTTGTTTTCATTCCATTTTTGCTCTCAAAATCATTTGAATATCTATCGTAATATTAGTGCAGGATCTGAAATGTCTGGCGTTTAGGTTATTTCTAGACAAAGTGCCAAATATGTATGTCAATTTAAGGTAAAGGATTGAAATTTTTCATCTGCGAGGAAGTGTAGTGATGTTTATTCACAAGTATTTTACAGCAAATGAATGAAATGAATCGATGAATATTATCCAGGAAATTTAAATAATCGAATACCTTTTTCTGATCTATTAATACAATTTATCGCAATGCAACAAGGCATTTTATAAATTTTTTTGCCTTCGTTAATATATAATATTTCAGGTTTTTATATCCTTCTCTTCGTCTCTTAGTCTATGGTAAAATTTCGAAATGAGGAAATACATATTGGGAGTATAAATTAGTTCGGTACGTTTTTTTGTGTTCAAAAATGCATTTATTTTGAAACAAAATGAATGAACAGATCAATTAAAGTATTGTCCATCGCTGCCTACTATTTTTTCCCATCTCTCAGGCAATTTTCGAATTCCATCTCGAAAAAATGACTCGTCTTTGGAGGCGATCCAATTTTGGAACCAATTTTCGATTTCTGCGAAAAAAGTGAACCGGTGACTTGCCAAACCGTGCTGTATCCTTTGGAACAACCAGTAATTAGAAGGAGCAATGTCCGGAGAATACGGTGGGTGTAGTAAAACATCCCATTTGAGCGTTTCCAAGTATTTTTTTACGACTTTAGCGACATGAGGCCGAGCATTGTCATGAAGAATAATAATTGTTTTTTATCACGTCTTTATCATGTCTTTGCTCGTATTCCGGCCGTTTTTCTCGCAATGCACGGCTCAAACGAATCAATTATAGCCGATCGCCCATAATGGAATCGCCAGGTTTCAGCAGCTCATAGTGAATAAGACCCTTTTGGTTTCATCGGATACAGAGCATGATCTTCGGCATGAATGTTCGGCCTTGATGTTGATGTTAAGATCGATGGCAACGATTGACCGGGTTTAGCGTAATATTTTTTCTTCTTGGGATAGAATATCCACTTCTCCAGTCACAATCCGATGCAAAAAACCTTTCTCTATTGTCTTCGAATCAGTTCGCAAGTGAAAAATCGCCTTTCAACGTCTCTCGGTTTCAGTTCATAAGGCACCCAATTTCTTTGTTTTTGAATCATTCTCATGGCTCTCGATCGTACAGAAATGGCTTGTTGAGTTACCCCCAATGATTCTGCAAGCTTCTCTTGCGTTTGACTCTGATCTTCTTCGCGTAATGCCTCTTATTCTTTTGTCTTCGAATTTTTTTGGCTGTCCAGAGCGAGGTTTATTTTCAACGCTGAAATCTCCATCCTTGAAACGTTGAAACCATTCCCTATATGATTTATAAGTTGGAGCAGTGTCACCACAAACTTTGACAAGCATTCGATGGGCTTCAGCCGCACTTTTCTTCCAATTAAAGCAGAAAATCAAAACCTCCCGTAAATGCTTGGTTAACACAAAATTCGACATTTCAAACACAATAAAAATCACGGTTTTTGTATGAAACTCAAAGCGGTATATAAACTGAATATTATTAGCAGATGTTTAACCTCTCTGAAACCGCCAAAATCAGCTATCACTATGAACCATTCACAACAGCTGGAGCCATCCTTTAGGGAAACGGACCGAACTAATTTGTACTCCCAATAAATACAAAGCTATAAAATTTTCAATAACTTAAAAGCCTATAACAATCGTAATAATCATAATCTTCTCAGCGGCAGAATGGTAAGGAGTGAAGAAAGGAATAAAAATGGCGGATATGCGAAAACTCACATTTATAGTGCCTTAGTTTAACCCTAACTTTGAGCTAAACAATTCACCAGTGAAGAAAGGCGATGAAATGAGGAACGACGGCAGAATATGATTGTAAAAAGAAAGTATTTATAATCAGACCTTGTACTTAAGGCTTCCTTAAATTTATCTTTAGATGCTCAGCAGCCAATGAAATAATAATAGAGATATCTAAAGATAAATTTAAGGAAGCCTTAAATATAAGGCCTGATTATACAGGCATAAGTCATTCCTTCCAAATTTCGAATTTCGATTGGTCGATTCCCTTATGCACTATGCATTATACGTTATGCAAATCTGTCCTGCGGCCATAACACATCGGTTCACACCGACTCCCCTTGCTTTTCGCACGGATGGTTTAGTGGCACTCGGTGTGTCTCTCTCGACATTTTCGAACAATCTCACACTAGTGCACACCGAGTATTTCCGAACGCAGTTCTAATTCAGCTAGCAATCTAGCAGAAAAACAAGCGTCGTATGTCGCTGACTATAGAAATCGTGCTCCTTTGCAAGAGGAAGGGGAGAAAGGGGTGAGAATGAGGGGTGAGAGTTGCTTTGCATGGAGAGTTGAAATCCATGTGGAAGAATACAATTATAGACCTTTTGTTTCTGACAGATTTCCTAATCTCAATAATTATCAACTTTAATGTCGCTTAATATCTCTTTTCGCGGGGCAGATTGATACTTTTTTCTGCCAGATTCTTTCATTTCAAGCAAAAACACATCGAATGAGCTGAATTTTATTGATTTTTGAGGTGGGATAACTAAACTATAATTACTGAATATACATGTGCATGTGAGAAGTATATAAACTTTGCAGTTTCTTTTTGTATATAATTATATATTTTTTTTAAGCACCATGCCAAGCTGTTACATCAAAAATTGTACGAATCGTGTACGGATAAATGATATAAAATTTTTTAAATTGCCGAAAGAACCTGTTGTTCGCCAGCAATGGCTGAAGGCCTGCGGAAAAAATGAAGGAGAATTACCTAAATCTGGTAAATTATTAAAATTTATATTAATATTTATTATCGTGTAATTGTATTTTATATTATTTTGACAGACTAATAAATACTATAAAATATAAATTTAATCTAAAGGGCCAATAAGCCTCATAGAATGTTAAAACACTAGTTTGTTTCAAATCGATTTACAATTCCAATTTAATAAGAAAGAAGTAATAAAAAGAAATCTCTAGAATTATATAAACA